ATGTATAAAAAAACCTAAAATTTATTTCAAAAAACAAAAAAAAATTTTAAGAAGAAGAATATATGAATATTTTACTTTTTGGTGTAGCACTTGCTGTTGATGAAAATTCTTTATTAATTGAAATATTATTCGAAAAATCTTCTTTTAAAAAACTATTTAATAAATTTAATCGATTTGAAAAAATATCTTCTATTGATTTATTTAATAAATTCCAATTATCAATTTTTTTACAATGATTAATTAATTCTTGAAGATTATTTTCTGTTAACTTATTTATTTCCATTTTTTCTTCATATTCTTTTATAATATTTTCATCAACACATAATGGTACATGTTCTAAACTAAGTCGAATAGCTTCAGCAGCTACTTCATTTCGATCATTTAAAATTGTTTTATCATATTTAAATAATGAACTTGATTGACAATAGATATTTGAACATTGATTATTTCCTATTGATTAAAAACAAAAAGAGAATCTTAATGAAAATTGAAGTAAATTAAATCTTTTTTTTTATATACCACAGCCATGAATTAATTGATGAAAATAACGATGAATAATTTTTCCTGTTAGATAAAGGTAAAGAATTTATGAAAGAAAAACAAAAGCATTAGTTTTCAAAGTTATACCGGCTGACATTGAATTTATTTGAATATGTATATTGATTCTAATGTCTTTTTTTTTTTTGCTTTCTAGAAGAATATGAATTTTTTATTTGTTTTATTTTTGGAAAAATATTCTATCAAATAGTTATTTAACATTAAATCTCAATTATTGTTTTTTTTCAAGTATTTTCTCAAATTTATACTATAGAGATATTTTAACTATTTGTTTGCCACTATTTTACCACAGCTACGTGGTATATATACCAATAGAACGTTGATGAAACTAGAAAGAGAAAAATGTTGAGGAAAAATTCTACAGAGGGCGTTTGTACACTTATTATTATGTTGGAAAAAAAAGCGGGAATAGATATTTTAATTAATCATCGAACAATGAGTATATCTAAAAGTGTAAGTAATATAATTAATTCATCTTTTTAATATATTACATAGAATATTTATAGAAACCAGTTCGTCAATTTAATATTGATGATGATCAAAATGCAATGACTGATTTTGTTACCGAATTTACTAGTAGGTTGAGAAATGTAATTAATATATCTGAAAGAGCATATGAATTTAAATTTATTGTAATTTGTTTTTTTTTTTACAAAGCAATAGATTATAGTGATGAGAATCTGTGTTATTAATAAAATTTCTATATATTTTGATTAGAATTTCTCTTGATCTTTCGTTTGATATTAATATTCAAATCAAAAGTATTTTCTAGCATATGAAGCATTTCTCGATAGTCAAATATCAGAAATTGATCAAAATTATTTACAAGTAAGATTTTTGTTTTTAATGAACAACTATAATAAAAGTTAATTGTTCTGTATTATTATTATTATTATTTTTTTTGTTTCAATGTTAAGGATAGTGATATAGCACGTGAATTTGTTGAATTAGGTTATCGAGGTATTGGTCATGCTATATCTCGAAAAGATTTTCAAGAACGTAAAAATCGTGCTGAATTTATTCTTCAATCTCGTCGACAAGGTCCAATACGTATAATAAGTGATTCATTAACTATTATTGAACCATTTGCTAAAGAACTTGCTTTACGTGAAGAAGCTAATCGAACAACACGTTTATTAACAATTATATTTATACGTAATCGAAATAATATTGGTCATGAAATATCAGCATATATTGATTATGCATATCGATTAAAATTTGAAGATTTTACACAATTTTTTATTGGACAAAATAAACTTATACCATTAACAACAGATTTAAGTTTTTATAATTGGGATACACATATGTGTACATCAAATGATACAAATAATTTTCATTTATTATCCGATGTTAATGGAATACAATTTCGATGTGAACATGATAGAAAAATTGTTTATGTTGATCCAGAATCAAAACATTATGGAGATGGAACAACACGAACAAGTATAAATGCAATTGGATATTTACAAATTATTCTCTATGTAAATGTTAAATTCTTTTTTTTTTTTGTTTTTGAAAACAAATAATGCTATATACACATTAATTCTTTGGAGATCAATTCCATATGTTTGACTAAGAAAAGAAATCTTCCGATAACCTAAAATTAATATAAATTTTATTCTAAATTATATATTAACACATATAGACACTATGAAATAGTGTCGGTATAGTATACATATATTTAGCTCATTTGTAGTTCATCATTATTCATTGCATATTTGTTTTATAAAGACAATACCAGAAAGAAATTTAAATTTGTAGATTATCGTTTACAACTTATTTGTAAAATCTTAAAAACTTAGTGTGCTCTAAAATCTATAATAGATCGTCCTACATTTAGCGAACCACTTTCCATCTCGTGTATCTTAAACAGCAAATAGAAAAACCTACTCAGAAAATTTGTGTTGTATGCGCACAGATATTAGTCGAAAATCTAGAAAAAGGACTAATTCATGTTATATATGTCAAGATTGTAATGTAGATCTTTGTGTTGTTAATTGTTTCAAGGAATTTCATACTTTATTATATTTTTAGCTTTTATTTTGCATTAACTTTCCTTTTTATATGTTATTGAATTGTTGTTTGTTATACTTTTTCAATGTATGTTTTGTTTCTTTCATTTCAATATAAACATTCTACATCTTTTGCGTTAAGTCTGGATGAAAAAAATTATGATTAACAATTTTCAACTACAGTCCTGGATAAAAGTAGCTGCTACCTATGAAATGCTATTATTTTGATCGGTTCATATGTTATGATTCAAACATATACAGCGAAAATATTTACTCAGAAAGTTTTTATTTGTCATTTTGCTATTCCATAAGTTACCCTGAGATAGTAAGTCCTTGTCGTAGTGCTAACTCGACTTGATTCAGTGCTGCAGCTCTAAAACTTTCTGAAGTAACTCATCGTCTCAGAGAAAAGATTCACCTCAATAAAAAAAAAAAACAGTATTTACTTTCCAACAGATATTCTTAATGAGAAAACACTATCTCAGTTATTTTAATGTAATTTCTAACAAAATTCGAACTAAAATTAGCTATTGCATTGGCGATTCGAATGAGAGGTTGAACAAAAATTTTTTTACTAACACGATTCAGATAAGATAATCACAAGAAAAAGATGATGCGTGAAGTAGTGATCCATTACCTGTGAACGAATGCAGGGTGTATTGTCACATGTATGTATCGAAAATATCAGCTTAATATCATAAAGAATAGTAGTACTTCATTAGGGACAGCTACTTTTATTCAAGATTATATAATTGATTTTGTAAATGACGATTCAACTTATTTTCTTTTTCTATTTCAGGATCATTATTTACGTCGAAAGAAATTTTAAAACAAAAACTACTGAATAATCATTTTTGTTTTGTTCACATTTTAACTATGTGATCGGATGGTTATATATTTTCTTTTTTTATGTCTGATTTTTAAACAACCGGTTGACTCACACAGTAATTATACAAAAAAAAAGAAAACATAAGAGTACACATACATACACATTACTAGCAAAAAAACAAGAGCAAATACAATTGATGACATGTATTAAACAACAACAACAAAAAAACAAAATGAAATCAATCAAATATGATACGTTTTTCAAAACATGTTATGTCTGTATACATATAAATTGAATAGTTTCATATACAACATATAAAGAAAAAGAAAAAAAAACCAAAGAACAAAATGAATAAATATTATTATTTTTTTTGTTTGCTTTCAGCACGATATGCATCAAGTTCAGCATCAAGATCTTCAGCTGTAACTTCTTCTTTTTTTCCACTAGAACCATTTTGTTGTTGTCTACCACCACGTGTTCGATTACCTCGAATATTATTTTGTTGATTAGTATTACGAAAACCAGATCGTTGAGGTCTATTATTACCAACATTACCTAATGAAAAACGATTTAATTGTTGTTTAGATCCATCATCGATATTGCCGACGAGTCTAATGTCCATTGGACGACCTAAACATAAAAACAATATTCTATTATTAAATTTCTCTTTTTTTTTGTTTTCAATAATATATACCATCAAGATTAAGAGTATTATATTTTTGTTGAGCAGTAATAGCATCAGCACGACGTTCATATATAACTTCAGCTGTACCTAATGATCGACCAGTTTCATCAAAATGTACACGAGCTACACGTACAGCTCCTATATCTTCAAATAATTCCTAAAAAAAACAAAACAAAAAAGAAAAATATTTTTAACACAAAAAAAACAAAATTCTTACTATAATATCATTTGTAGTTACACCAAAATCAAGATTTGAAATAAGTAATTTTGTTGTACTATTCACACCAGTATTTCGTTGTATTTCTCGATTTCGATTTGTATTATCATCATAAAGATCATGTTTCCAACGACCTGTTGCTGATGGATTAGATATTCGAGGCTAAAATAAAAATGAATAAAATAAATCAAAATAAAAAAAACAAACTTACCAGCGCACCACCACCACGAGTTCGAAATCCATTAGCACTTCCTCGACCAGTACGTACTCGAAATCCTCGATTTCCACCACCACCACGACCACCACCACCACGTCGATTTGTTGTACGATCTAATCGAATGATATCGTCAAGTCCAAGACCAAGTTTGTCCGAATTGGCCATTTCAATATGTATATATTGTTATTTGTATTAAATACAATAATAAAATGGCGTTAATCTAAAAACTTCATGCGTTTTTTTTTTCGTATGGTACATTTCGCTGTTGATATAAATTTATTTTCAACTGGATTAAAATAACAAATTTAATAAGAACAATCCAGATGTATTTGTTTTCTTTTTTTTTTGCCTGTGAACAAGATAGACTCCGTCTGAACATACACATTCGGCATATTCGTCGAACGAATAAGCGAATTATATACACAATACAATATACTATTCATCTTCTTGATATTTTCTTTTATTATTTTTCATTTCCTAAATTATCATACTTGTCATACAAATGAGAACAACTCGAGATGTTAATTATAAACAAAAGTAAAGAAATCATAATGCCAAAAGAGAAGAAAAAAATAAATATTGATACGTCATTTGGCGTCTATAAAAAAAAAACAACAACGAAATAATGTATAATCTATATAGATGATATTTCACTAACCATATTGAATATGGATGTAGATTGACCTTTATTGTTTTATTTTTAACGAATAGGAATCGATTTGAAAATAAAAAAAACTATGAGAAATCGATTTGAAAATATTTTTATTATGAAAAAAAAAAATATTTTAAATATAAAATACTGATATTTAAAAAAATAAAAATAACATTTTTTTTTCTGATTGGTTGATAAGAAATGTCATGTAGAATAAGCAAGCAAGGAGTTATCGGTTAAGGTCTTGTGGGTACACATACACTCATCTTCGACTCCTCGAATACATTTTGACCACTCGGTACTTATCGAAGTTCTGAGTGTTCTAAGAGAAGACACCTATCGGAAGAATAATATCGACTCCTCGGACATGTTTCAATCACTTGAGGAAAAGAAACACATTGGAAGGATATTTTTCAGTGTTTCAGTAGGGATAAACCTATCATAGTAGACTACTTGGCGAAAAATATTATAAAGTAGAAAATAAGAGTTGAAAACATCTTTCTATTACATAAACTCAACCTTGAATCTTCAAAAAAAGTCGCTCCGTAGAGAAACACGATTTGTTACTAGACAAGAACATGTTGGTTCAATCAAAATAATGTATAACACTTGATTTATGGATACAGATAATATTAAAAGATATGATATATATTCGTTATATGAAGCACTATAAAAAAGTAGAATTATTTTATTGAATTTTAATTTAATAAATTGATAAATGAAAATCTTTTAAATATATTTTTCAATTCTGAATTGTTTTTAAATTATTTTATGCGTAAATCAAATTGAAACTAAATATAACTTGACATCCCTAGTTCAGTGTCTATAGCTCTATTTTCATCATACCACTAGACTAGTATGAAAAGAACAAACTGACCTTTTCTTTTCTGGTTCTCATGATAATGACTGAAATATGAATATATATTCTGACAAAACACAATCCATTTAATGAGAATTTCAACATACATTTTCAAAAATTCTAGTATCATCGCTTGTACAGCATTCTATAAACATATCTAAAGTAACAACATACATCGAAACGAAAACTACGGGTAATGGAACACCTGGTATATTCTTTTGATTGCAAAGACGACCAAGTCAAGTAGTTCTCTCATTAACAATTTGCACAGATATAATGTATCCAACAGTTACGAGCACCTTTGTCGTCATCGACGATGAAGGAGGCAGTATTGATAAAATCATCAGATTGTATATATAAAAATCACCGTGTCCAAGTGTTTGTTCATCACCTTCTTCGTATGATTCATTGTCATCAAAATCCCAAGTAGAGTAAAAGTCATAAGTAATCGAAACTTCAGTTTTTGAAAGTTCTTCAGTTGATTTTCTATTGTAAAAACGACCATCTGGATATAGACACAAGAATCTATTCAAAAAGAAAATTAGTATAACAACTGTATGAAGACAAAACAAACAATTGATCGCTTAAAATGTTACTCTTTCTTTTTCAATATTCTTCCATCATCTTTCATCGAGAATAGTTCTCCTCAAATTACCGTTTCGTAAGAAAAGCTTTTCCGTATTATTTAAATCGTCTGAACAATGAAAATAGAATGATCATAGAGTTAAATATAATAAAACAATTCCGTTGTCTTCCTCGTTTGTTCAATCGTGCCCACTTATGGCACTTACTGTATATCTAATTACTCATGGTATGATTTCAATCGTATCATACTGAAATCAGTATAATCAAACAATTTATATATTTTTTTTTTCTTCGAATGAGATTATATACGAGTGTATACCATGCAATCACTGTTATTTAACGCCCTCTTTCTAATTTATAGAGGCTGTATGCTCCCTTTTAATGTAATGGTGATGTCAAAGTGTATGTAAATTATCTCAACCGGTGTTATCTTACGTTTTATGTTATTACTCAAAAGTGGCCTACATACATTATGTTTCATTAATATTATTACAGTCATTTGTTTTTTTTTCATATAAATATTTGTTGTTTTTGTATGAATCATGTCATTTTTTTGTTTGTAAATAGACTGTTTCTTGATAAAAGATTCAAATAAGTTGAAAAATAAACTAATAATGAATTTAAATTCTTATTGAAAAGAGAAACATTGCTAGATCTTGAATTAATTCTTATATATATATCTTAAAATTAATAAAGTTTTTCTTGATTACTATAATGAATTTATTTTGTATAATTAATAAATTTCATCAAATTTTAAAATCATTTTTGTAATAATTATTAATATTAAATAAGAAATCTATCAAATAATATATATATAAATCCACGACATAGAAAATTTTATTCATCTTTTTATATTTCATACATTAACAGATGTTTTTCAGTATTTGATATAAATAAATTTTCAATCTATATAGGTCATCAATTGAATTTCGTTTTATTCTGTATATATAAAATATATAATACAAATATTTAAAGCAATGATTTCTTGGATTGTTATTGTTTGTTTTAATTAAAACAAAAAAATTATTTCTGAATTAGACTTGGTGATGAAATATCGGCTAAAGGATGTCAAACTTATCTAATATGTTGTAATGATATAATCATTGATGATTGTTTTATATTTACTGATATATCAAAATCGAATAGTATAGAGAAGATACTTATACCATTATCCTCATATGAATTTGTTTTATATGAAACTAATATAATGAGTTGTTGTTTTTTTTTTTTATCAAAGAATTAAGATAAAATATCATGTTTGATTTTAGTTTTAGATTATTTAAGTTAATAATGAATTTTACTGATTATTTAATATATGTCAAATCTCAGCTGGTAGGACATAAAATTATATATTTATCTATATAGTTTGATGAAGAATTTTCATGTATAACATGTCGATATAGGATGAAAAGAAGTTTTGATTGATTATTATCTAAAAATAAACTCTTAGAATTATTTTTTTTTTTTTTGTAAATATAAGAACAATTTGGTAAAATTTCGTCTCATTCGTATTGTTTTGGGTAATGAAGCTTGTGATCTTGATTCGGCTATAAGTGCATGTGTCTATGCATATTTTCTTCATAGCGTATGTTATTGAAGTCAAATAAATCGGTTTTATTTTTTTATTATTTTTTATTTTCATACAATCTTAGACATGTCAATCAAAAGATGAAATTCTTCATGTACCTATATTAAATACACAACCATCAGTATTTCGTTTGCGTAATGAAATACATTGGTTATTAAAAGAAAATCATTCGAATATGATTTTTATTGATGATATTGACTTAAATTATTTATATGATAAAAATAAACTTGAAATAATTCTTGTTGATCATCATTGTTTATATTCAAAATTCAATAAAATTGTAACACAAATAATCGATCATCATCCTCTAAAAGAAAATTCAATTGCATTACAAGAGTATAACCAATATATATTTTTCTTGAGTTTTTTATTTTTTTTTTAATTTTTATTTTCTATAGTTCATCAAAAATAAAAATTGAACTTGTCGGGTCATGTTGTACATTAATAGCTGAAGAAATTCTTACATCGAATACAAATTTTCAAATGACAAATGAAATTGCTTATTTGCTAACTGGTAAGCAAATAGAAAACGAAAAAAGAAAAAGAAAAAAGAGAAAGAAGATAAAAATATGATAAAAAAAAATAATATTATCATTGATTCATTCAAGGGCCTATTCTATTCGACACATTCAATTTTTCACCAAGTGCTGGTAGAACAACCGAAAAAGATAAGCAAATATACGAACAACTTTTAACTTACCGAACTTTACCAGTTGACGATTCAACATTATTTAAAGACTTAAAACAGTGTGCTTCTACTACTACAGGTTATTAATTGAATTTTTTTTATTATTTTGTTTTCTGTCTTATGAAATTCAACCATTCATTTATTGATTATTAGGAATGTCTGTTCAAGATTTATTACAAAAAGATGTTAAACAAGTCAGTGGACCTAATATTCGTCTTGTTATTTCTAGTCTACCATCAGAATATACAGTCGAAGTAAAAAAAAAAAAACAATAATATTGAATTTTATTTCTTATGTTTGTTTTTTAATAGAAATTAATTGGACAATTAAAAACAATGAAAGATATAGATGAATTTTTATCTAATAATGATAATGCTGATGGTGTAGTTATGCTTTCACTTGAAACAACTAATGATGAAACAAAACGTCAATTAGGATTTTATATTAAGAAATATGAACATATGCTTCCAATAAATGAATATATACAACGTGGTGAACATAATCTTAATTTACGTGAACGTGGTATACCAATAAATCAAGCACGTATCAAATTATTTGAACAAAGAAATGTTCAAGCATCTCGAAAACAAATTTTACCATTAATTGAAAATTTTGCAAAAGATTTTGCACCACAAAATTCATCCTAAACACAATTTATTTCTTTTCTTTTTTGCTATTCTATTTAAGACAATATTTCAATTTTTTTCTTTATTTTCTTCATTATTATCATCTTCGATTGGATTGATTTCACCACGTTTAAATTGATCAGCTATTGATTTTGCATATGTTGCATTAAATAAATCACGTGCTAAGAATTGATCTTGTTTGATTTCTGTTACATCATATGAAACATATGGTTTTAACTAAACAAATATTTTCATAAGATAAGAAAAATAAAATAAAATAAAACCAATTTGTTGTTTTTCAAAAAAAATTTACTTTAAAATCAGTTAAATCAGGTACAACTAATTCAGGTTCCATTTCTTCAATATAAACAAATTTACCAGTTTGATGATCATAATAACCAGGCATTTGTACACCACGATCTACAATTTTAAATATTCAAAGATGATAAATCATTGAAAAGACTTTTTTCATTCTATGAAATGAAAATCAATTTATAATAATGAGAAATGTACATCTAACATTCTTTGCTCAAAAAACATAATAGTTCGAATGTTTGAATTTTGTTTCATACTGTTCAAGTCATTGAATGAATATCGAATACTTTATAGAACTAATAAATTCATATTTCTAGCACTATTCATCTTTGATCAAGTTATGAATCAGTGGGTATTTTTGATATTCACATTTGCTCTTTTGTGAAATTTTTCAGAATTATTATATGAATTGATTTTTATCTTTTCGAAAAGACTTATCAATATTGAACTAATAATTATGTTATTGGAGATTTTACAATGATAAGTCGATACATTGATCGGTGGTAGTGAGTGAAAGTTGTTGATGACCTTCTTTTTTTAAAATTTTCTTTATTTCTGAAGATTTTGAAATAGAAAATATAGGAGATGATGGTAGAGAACTGAATGATAATTGAAAAATCGAGTGTATATTTTTGTGTTACGGTGTCAGTGACTCATTCGATCAGTTTATCATTTCTAGTTACATATACTTATGAAGAACAAAATCGAAATTCTCTTTTTATACTTTATCGTTTATTTCATAAAATAGTTCTAATTACTATAATTCATCTATCATTCTATAAAATTATTCTCTTTTATTCTTAAGATTTCATCAAATGATAAAATCTATGATTAATTAACTTACGAGCCATATACATAGAATGCCAAAGTTTATGACCACCAGGTTTATGTTCACTAGCCATTTTGGTTGTTAATTGTAATCGACTATCGAATAAGAATTTTGATATTTCAATAAATGATAAAAAAAAAAAAAGGTAAAGTTATAATATTTACCTCCAAACAGGTACTCGATCTCTATGTGGAACTGGATTAGCACTATCATATTTTTGATATGGAAAAAATTGATATGTTGGATGTTTAATTCGTCTTCGAAAATGAATGGATGAAAGAGCAAATGTACGTTGAATATTAATAGTATGATTATTATTCAATAAGCTTTTCAATAATAAATCTTTTGATATAAACATTTTAATAATAATAGTTTTTCTTAAAAAAGCAAAAAAAAAAGAACATTTTTTTTTTCCTGTCATCGTTTCTTAATTCAATGATAATAGACAAAGAAAGAGGAAAAATCATTTACAATAAAATAAATATAGAAAAGAAAAAAAAATGTATGCAAAAAAAAAACATGTTCGCTCTATCTCGGCGATGTAACTGTTGGAGATGATGTAGTTGGTATTGCATTCGATGTTGTCATATCGTCAGGTAATTGACTCGTTATCCATGTTAAACCTTAGATAAAGAAAATAATTTTTTTTACAGACAAAGAATCGACATATGATTTACCCCATTTTAAATTCGTTAACATATATTTTAATGCTTTTGTCCACTCTTCTTGTGAACCAACTTGATAACTAATCAAAATATTACAATGATAATAATATTTAATCTTATGACCGAACCCTATCAGTAAGACGATCTCCCTTCATTTGAAGAGCCACCTATGCCGTTTTGTAGAGCAACACGTTATGCATTAAATGTTGTAAAGGATATTGCTTTCTCAGTAATTTTCAATATTCTCAGAACTCATATACAAGTTAATAGATATTCCAGAAATTATGAATAATATACCCATAATTCGTAGAATATCTATTAACTTGTATATGGGTTCTCAGAATATTGAGACTTGTTGAGAAAGCAATTTCCTATATACCGTTTGATGCACTACGAGTTGTTCTACAAAACGGTATAGGCGACTTTTTCAATCAAAGATAGTCATCTTATTCAATAGAATTCTTTAAATACCTGACATGAAATTGGTATCCATTACTATCAGTAATAACACCTTTCTTTTTTTCATTCATTTTATACGGTAAACAAAAGCGTTGATTCTTTGATTCGATTGCTAATTTAAACTAGATTTTGAAGAAAACAAAAAAAAAAAGAATCAAATTATTGGTTATAATTAAAAAGAAAATCTTTTTTTTTTATACTTGATTAACACAATCAAGAAATGCAATTAATGCTTTATTAAATCTAAATTTATAAAAAAAAGAATATTACAAAAAAAAAAAAAAGGAAACAACTAAACTTACTGATTATCCCAAGTAAGATGTCGTCGACCTGTATAAAGTGGTAATTGTACAAATTTTCCATTTTTACGTTCATTTAAATCTTCTATATAAGAATGACTTCCTAATGGAATAATTTTATATCTATTAATTATAAATAGAAATATTTTAAAATAGATTAATAAATAATTTTTACTTAATAAATTGAAGATCAATTCGTTTAGCTAATGAATTAAGTAATAAAGCAGCTTGACCAAGACCAGCATTAATTTCTGACCATTCAACCTATTTTATTTAAAAATAAAATCAAAGTTGAGAAAAAAAAAAAAAAGTAAATTTTACATTAATGCTTGGTAAACGACCAAGTCGAAAACCATTTATTGTGCCAAAATGTTCTTGATGCCTAGAAAAAAAATAGTAAAACAAAAAAAAAAAAGAAGTATCTTTCTAATAGACCATATATGAAATGCAGCATTAAAAGCATTTGTTTTACTCAATTTTTCATATTGAGCACGAGCATGTTTTGTTTGATTATCAATACTAGAAAAAATAATTCAAATGATTTTTTTTTTTTATGAATATATTATTTTAATCTTTACCTTTTCTGTTCATCTTCAGCTTCGAATAATAAACGTTTTTGTTCATTATAATCACGTAAATATCTTAAAAAAAAAAAGAAATACAAATTTATAAATAATTAGTGTATATGGAAGAAAATCATCACTGAAAAAAGAACATTAGCGATAATATTGAAATTACAGCTTTTCTATAACTCATTGAGTTAAAATAATTTTCTAATATTGAAAAATTTGAACAAGATAAAGTTTCGAAAAGGCTTTGCACATTATTCAAAAGAATATAAACTGAACCAAAGATATTAAACTTCAGTTCAATTATCACAATAATTGCGGCAAGTCTAAAGTCCGTCAATTCGAATCTGAAAATTATTGGGTTCGATGAGCTTTAGTTGTCTAAGAAATGCTAGTCATCAAATACAAAAAAATCGGAAAAAAGTATCTTCGGATTTCTTCTTGATATTCTGTACATAAATTATTTATTTGTTTAGTTTAAATAATGTAGATATTTCATTTATTCGTATATATATTTACCTGATTTCTTCTTCTTCTAATGATTGTTCATCTTTTTTTAACTGTTCTGATTCATTTTGTAATCGTTGATTTTCTTGTTCTAATTTTAATAATTCATCTTTTATTCGTTTTTCTTCTTCGTCTAACTGTAATACAAGAAACAAAACAAAAAAAAAGAATCAAATAATTTTACTCGATTTTTTTAAAAATTTACTTCAATTAATTCTTGCTTTAATTTTTCATAATTTTCTGGTTGAACATTTGTTGATGAATTAAGTTGTTCAAGTAATTTTCTACAAATCAAAAAAAAAAACAAAAAAAATTTTTTTTTCTATTTCTATTTTACTTGTAACTTGTTAATTCATGTGTTGCCATTTGTAAATCAACATCAAGTTTATCTAAAAGTGTATCTGTACACTCCTAATTTCATATATAAAAAGAAAAATAAAATCAATAAATACAAAATTGATTGTTTTTTTTTTTCAAAATCTTTCATACTTGACATAGTGGATGATCAAATGTATATTGTTCAGAAAGAAAATCATATAATTTTTCATGTATCTATTATTATTAAAAAAAAAGTTTTTTTGTTTCAAGCAAAAAAAAAGAAAAAAATCTTATTACATTAATGTCATTTCGATATTCACGCATAGATTTTTGTTCTAAATCTTTATTTACATCATGTGGAACAAGTGCAAAACCATTTGCACTATCAAGACTACTCTGTGATCTAACAATATAAAAAGAATATTCATCTATTATGTTTTTATCATTATTATCATTATTAAAGAAGAAAAAAAGTGATAAAGATGATGATAAACTTACGTAGTAATTGACCATCCACTGGAAAAAAAATTAAAGAATTTTATATATTTTTTTTAAAGTTATATCAAACATACAATCGTTTTCTACCCAATGTTTTACGAATAACAATAGTACCATCGGACTAAAATATGTATATATATATGTATATAGAAAAAGATTATCCTTAAGATTGTACATACTCCGCCTTGTTGTAATTCATTATAAGATTCATCACATATTGTTGTACTAGATGCTGAAGAAAAAACAAGAAAATACGGAATTTAAATCGAAAAATTTAGATTTATTATTTTTTTTTTTGTATGTGTTACCAATTGGTTTAGTCATTTGATCATCGATTGTTTCTAATGATGAATCTTGTTGAAGGAAATTGCCACATACTTGACAAACAAATTGTGGTAAAGGAGATTTTGGAGCACTCATCGTCATTTTATCTAAAACGAACTTATTTTTTATGTTTGAATTTCGAGTTCGATGAATATATATGTAATTTACCTAGGTACCGCGTGCTTGTTTGTCTGTTTCGTCTAACTTATAATATGACTCATTCAAGATTTATGATTGGTTAGTTGAAAAATAATTTATGATAGGATATGAGACCTCTGTATGTCTTATCAGATATTATATAAATGATTTTGATAAAATAAAAATTACGTTCATATTTTTATTTTCAAGCTTAAAATTGAATGATATTATGCTTGATCAGTTCAAAACTATACATTTTCAAACATCGATTTAACAACATTTTTAAATGACTTATAATAAATGATTATTGCTGTGAAATACTTAAATGTTTTCTATCTTAGTTATAAAAAAATCACCATTTAACGGTACAGTATGTTAACGACAAAAGATGATAACAGTTAGAGCTGGCCTGTGACAATCAACATTGGAAGGAGAGGGGTGGTGTCGCTATGTTTTCGAGAGAGTGTAAAAATTTTTTTCCCAGAGAACGCAAGGAAGATGTTTGGCTTCGCTGGGAAAAAACAAAAACTTTTCATGATTGGTTAGTTGTCGTGCACTCTCACTTCTCATTCAGTTGAGTCAGCCTTGATAAACAACTTTCTTATTCCAACAGCTCATGCATGACAATTGAATTGATCAGAAAATCATACATATAATAAAATAATTACTAACTAAAATTAATGTTCTAATTCTAAATAAGTGTATAGTTAGAATAAATAATAACATAAATACTACTGTGATATCATGTGAATATCTATTAAGCAAAATTGTATTTAGATTTCTTTAATAAATGAAAAATCAAATCTATTCTTGAAAATATTATGCAAAAGTCAATAAGCAATATTTTATTAAATTAGAAGACAAATGATGAGAGACTAGTTCAGAACTTTCTTGAATGATAAACTCCTATTTTAGAATAACTCATAAAATATTTAAATGCGACTATAAATTAAAAACATAATGACACATTGACATCAATTCAATAATTTTTTTATTGAACATTTCTCTTCAAATTATTCAAATATCTTTATGTAAATTAATATCATATGATCTAAATAATAATAGTTTATCAATTTAAATTTAAAATATAATCATTGATAATCAATTGCATTTATTTTTCTATTCTTATTATAATTTTCTTCAAAAAATTGTCATATAAAAAAAGAAAATGTGTCAATATGAAATTGAATAAACTCAACTACATTTGACACCTATTTTAATTTTGTAAAATATAAAAGAGAATAATCAAAATAAAAGGGTAAAGTGACACTTAAATAGATTCTACTCTGTTCTACTATTATAATACTGTTGTGACTGTTTGTTCGTATTTTAACATCTAAAATCGTTCTTTTCGGATAATATTTTTCATTTTATGAATTTTATCTGTTGTTTGCTGATAAAAATTTTAAAATAACTTTTCATATAAAGAAATTACATGATAATAATCTTGACGAACATATTCAATCATCTTTTAATAAAAATAACATAAATGGAATCATAAAAAGACAATAACAACAAAAAAAAAACTTAATCATAGAGAATAAAAGTCATTGTAAAAAAAAATCTACTTTTAAAATAAAGTTATTTCAACTTTTATTCTTATAAACCATCGGACGTAGGTGCATAACGATATCTTTGTTTTTTTAAATCTATATGTCTGTTTTGTATAGATAAATAATATTGTTGTAGTTCATCAAAATTAATATTTTTTCTTGGATCATTTATAGTTTCCTTTTCTTTGCTATTTATTGATAGACTAGAAAAAACAAAAAAAACTTCAAATAATTCTATCTATTTTTCAGAATTCATATCTTACTTAGCAAGACGTTTATCAATTGATGTAAATTTATCAATAAAATTTGGTACACATTCAAGACGTCTTCTTAATACATGAAATGCATCTGTTTTACCTGGTAATAACATTAATAAACCACATAATGCACGAATTAATGTTTGATTATTTTCTACATCAAGAAGTGCTAAACGAAGATCTAAAAATATGAAATTAACATTTAGCAAAAGAAAAAAAAAACAAACAAAATTTCGAATATACAGTTCTGGACAAAAGTAGTTGTCCTTCATAAAGTGCTAATATTCTTTATAAAGTTCAGCTTATATTTTGGGTACATACATGCGGTAATAAACCCTAATTCTAAGCATCAACTCGTGCTGTATCGATTCATATGTACTGGATCTATGATTCGCACATCATTTATCTTTTTCACAAAAGGCAAATAATGTTTGAATTATAACCCAAGTATATATAAAGGGATCAAGCGCATTTTGACACTTGCGATTAAGATTTATTGTCATATATTAGTTTAATATGATCAAGAATAGTAACAATTCATGGAAGAAGAACTACTTTTGTACAGGATTGTAAAAATTTTTTCTTACATGTAAAAATAGGTGATTCAAGTAGTTGAACAAGTTTATCAATTTCAATTAAAAAATCAACAGTCACTTCAATTTCTGCACTATAAAAAAACAAAACAAACGAATCTATTTAAATATATATATATATATGTTAATAAATAATTTACAATAATTGAACAAGTGTACAAGCATGATCATAATTTTGTGATAAAAAACATAATGCAACTAATGCTACTGGATTATGACACCATGTTTTATAAAGACATACAAATAAATCAGCACTTTCTATTGTTTGTAAATTTTTTAATTTAATTCTTAAATCATGTAATTCTGTTGATGTTAATAATATTGAACTAAGAATTTTAACCATTATTGAAGCAAAATTAGTATCAGGTTCATTAGCTAATGTTTCAGATAATGTTTTATATATATCTTCAGGTGAAAGAAGCATACATAATTGTCTAAATAAAAAAGAAAACATAGTCGAAGAATCTATGATACTATTCTCATGTTTTGATAATAATTCAACTATGTTCGAGATTTTAATGATTTGATTGTTTAGATCCGATATAATATTACAATGGTAAGTATTGTAAAGGAATATTTCGAATATATCAACAATTAAGATGATCAATAGGACCAGTGTTTTATCCAGCGCACGGACCAAAGGAGAGGCATCCTTCCAGAGTTTGAGATTTTTGTGAAACATATAGGAATGTGCAGTTTGAATTTACTCGCCATCGACGTCACTGACTCAGTGTTGTTAATGCACACTGACTACACCGGTATCAGTGTTCATTGAAGCATTGGAATATCCCGCTACAACAAGGGTATACTTTGATAGAGTCAGTGTCTCTATGTTGCAGCGAATGCGGATGTCAGCGCTTCAATGAATATCGATGGTCAGTGGCTCCTGTGTTGATGACTCCATGTTCAATATTTACACCAACAATGTATATTCCTAGCTACATACTCTGCATCTGTGATTCCAAAAACAGGTATTCGCTCTCCTGAACTTCTAAATCGCCGCTTTGGAAGAGAATATCTGGATAAAACACTGAATAGAAACTCGATGAAACTCAAACGATTAACCCCTTTTGCGATAGAAAAGCTTCAGTAAAATCCATATGGAGTAAAATATAAAATTTGAAGATGCTACTTTTATTTGAAACGATAAAGTCTAAGCAAAATCTCTAAAACTATCACATATCCAGAAAAATACCAATGTAAAAGATGATCTCATCTATATGGAAAATGAAGAAACTATCTGTTATGTCACTATGCATTCGTTACATCCTCGATTTCATCAATATTCAATCTCTTTCAAAATGTCAAGATAATAGTTTAAATATATTTCACCATCTGCACAAAGAGAACGGAAGTTTTCACTATAGACTTTTAAATAGTGACTGATAATCAGATCGTTCCAAAAAAAAAATCTTTTCAATATGTTTTTGAATTCTCGTCTCTATGATAGAGTTTTCTCATTGTAGACTTAACTACTCATTAATAATATTATTTCATAATAAAAAAAAAACCATATGAATTAGATATGAAGACTAAAATGTAAACATATATATATATCACATGAGAATACATGAAAAACGTTAAATATTATCTACAAACCGAATAATAAATGATCCACGAGCTTCTAAAAGTGATCGATCTGTACGAAATAAATCCATAAGTACAATAATAAATTTCGTAAAATAATCATTATAATTTCTATCTGTATTTGTTCGATTTGATGTTGATATTAATGCAAAAACTTGTAAAACCAAAAGTACAGCCTTGAAAAACAAATATATAAACTTGTTTTAGATTGTTTTTCACAAAAGAACGAAAAATTAAACAATGATTAAACGAGCGCGAATCATAAAAGCAGATCAATAGAACATATATTATATGTATATGTCTGATTTTTAAAAAAAACCCAATCCCAGTTGAAAAAAAAAACATGAGCATATATGCAGATCAAGGCGTTTTGTTGTTTTTTTTTTAAAATTCTTTTACATTTTCTTACTTCTGTCGTATATTGATGTTGCTGTTTACTACCCTTTTTTCGTAATAATGGTGGTGAATATGCAGTAGTGACTGATGTTGGAGACTGCGTGCAAAGAATGAGAAAATTACAATTTTTTTTTTGTGTTTTTAGCTATTATGAAATTATGTAGTTTAAATGTAAATTTTAAAATATGTGTTTGTGTGTATGTGTTTTTATTTTATTTTTTATAATCAAATCATGCGAATCATTGGGATTTATAGATTACCTTGGTAGGATAACTGCTCGTCTGGAAAATAGCTTACTTAGATTATAGAAAAATGAAATACAATGATTTTCTTATATTTACCTCATCAGATGGATCACTTAGTACACGAAATAATGTTGGAAATAAAACATCGATATGTGAAGCCATCTATAAAATAATAAAAAAGAGAAAATATTTAATACTTATTATCATTTATTGGATAATAATATGAAGAAATTTGAATTTCCTAGAAATAGGAATTTATCATATCCTTAGTATCTTTCCATCTATGTGAACTGATTTATGTTCATAATATTAAATTACCTGATCTTGAAGACATTCAAATAGATGATGAACCCAACCTAATGCAATAATACGTGATGGTGAAGCACCCGATTGTATTTGAGTTTTAAGTACTTCAACCATTTTTGTTATAGTCATATCTGGTAAACTATAAAAAAAAAAAAACATAGCGTTCTATTGAATATTAATATTCATTTTCTTCAAAGAAAAAAAATAATTACTTATGAATAGCATTGCTTTCATTGCTTTTTTTAGTACTTTCATTTTTAATTAATTGTCGTAAAATTGAATTGATCTCTTTGGCTGTCTCTCGAATGTGTGTAGATGATGGTTAAGAAAAATATTTTAAAATACAAAAATAAAAAATAAAAAAAAAACAAAATCAACAAAAGTAAAAAGGATATTTTGACGATTATCATCTTCATATGAAAAACATGGAAGTACAGCCGATAATAATCCAGCTGAATGAGGTAAAAGTACTTGATGACATTTTGGCATATTAAGAAATTCTCGTAACCAATGTAATGCTGTATATTGAATTAAATCGTCTGAAAAATAATAAAACAATCATTATCAAAATCTAGATTATTAGTAAAAAAGCTCTTTTTTCTTTATTGTTGTTGTTGTTTTCTCTTCTTCTAAATGCATACCGAGAAGATATTTGAATAATCGTATTTTTTTCAAAGAAGAAGTAATTGTAAGATATATATACAAAATTTCGATGCATATCTATTAAAGCGTTAATCATTTATTAAGTAACTGATAACTATAGATATAAAGAAAATATTTTATTTTTGTTTACCAACTGGTTTGATAGTTGTAAATAATGGTATCGATATTCCTAATGAATGTTTAACTCCATTTTTTTTTTATTAATTATTATTTTTCTTCTATAGGTTAATCGAATAAAACAAAAAATTAAATTTAATTACCTGATGATTGACTATTTTGTATTAAAATTCGAGTCATATCTTCAAACATATCCGGTTGAACTTGAGATGTTTTTAAAATAGTTAAAAATTCACTAAATAATATCTCACAACTAAAAAAAAGAAAAATTTTTCAATCAAAATAAATATATATTACAATAAAAAAAAAAGAAAAATATTACGATTTACGAATTTCAGGATTTGGATCACCTAATATATGAAATAAACCATCCATAATTTCTGGTAAATATTGCACCATATCAAATTCTGGTACAGATGTAAGTAAAGATACCTTAATTATGAAAAACAAAATCAAATAAGAATATATTCATTCGTCTTTGTTTTTTTTTTTTTTTGTTCATACCCAAGAAACAATAAATTGTCGAGTAAATGCATTACGAACATAGATTCGTTCACGTAGAAGTGGAATAAAAGCAATTACTTCAAATTGCGTACATGTTTCAATTACAATATCTTTTAATAAACGATCACTAAAAACAAAAAAAGAAAAGAAATAAATACTCATTTCGATTAAACGAGATTTCAAAACTTTAGTTTTATCAATTTACAAAATTATGTTGCAACAATTTAAACATGCTGACAAGGGAACCACGAAAATTGATACTAACTATTTGACCTTATATTGAAAAACCTACAAGGACGTCTTGCTAAAAGTCTAGAAAAATACGTTGCACTGAGTTATTGATCCAGCTGTAGAAATTAACTGAAAAATCAAGTAATGAAATTTTGATTATCAATAGATCTAATAATCTTTAGAATATCCTGAAAGTTTTCTTTTGTTGAGATATTAGAATTTCAAGTAAACTCGATTTTTATATCATGCCTATAGCAAGTGAATGTTTGTTGAATGGCGAGTATCCATTCGGATGATTCCTTGGTGAGATTATACGTGTTATCCTGATCTATAGGAATTGTATTTTATCAATCAATTAATGATTTTTCCATTTTATTTCAAGGTTTAATACATTCGAAATATTTTCTCTTTTTACTTTGCTCATTTTATTTCTTGTTTACAATTGCATAATAATAAATAATCGTTTTCAATTAAATTATAAGATTCTTCTTATGAAAAGTATAATAATTTCGAGAAGATATTAAAACTATCATAACTTTAGAAGTGAATTCAAAGAATTCTAATTGCCTTTGAATATTTATATTAATCTAAATCTCCCTACTACATCAATTTGATTTTTCTAAAGTAAATAAAAAAAATTTACCAAAGTTCAGCTCCACTTTTTACTGTTGGTTCAAGATCGCATACAAGCTAAGAATAAAAACAAAAAACCAAATAAACTTTCATTTATCATATAAATCTTACTTTCGAAAGACAATCAAATATTTCATTAAAATAAGAAAGTGTTATTGTTCGAAGAACTTTTGCTATATTATATAATGATTCACATGCATAATATCGAACTTTTGGATCATTATCAAGAAAACATTGTAAGACAGGTGGTACAAGATATGATTTAAATCTTTGTGCTTCCTAATGAAAAATTTTATAAAAACAAAAAAACAAGAAGAACAAATATTTAGATACTACTCTGCCACATGCAATTGCTAATGCTGCAATACCAATTAAACCACCACGACGAAAATTTCCATTTTGTGATAAAACAAAATGTTCACTAAGTATTTTACAAATTCGTTCAATTTGTTCATAATTTTGAACAGCTATTAATTCTCGTACCATTCTGAATAAATATATATAATTATATCAAAATAAAAATATTTAATTCGTTTGTTTTTTTTCCTTCTTACTTTTCAATCTCAAGTGCAGCTGCTTTACGTTTTTCATATAATTTATCAGTTAATGTTTTAACTAATGTTGCTGATAAAGGTAAATAATCTCGATCACTCATATTTATATTCTAATTTTAATCTACAATATACAAAACAAATTAATCAAGTTAATTCATTTCACAGTCCTGTTTTTTGTTGTTTTATTGAGTTACACACACACACACACACACAGAAACATATACCGAAAAAAAACAAAAAAAAAAAAAAAACAAAGAACGAAATCGAACAAATACAAGAGGCAAAGAAAACAATTTTAAGTAAATTTGTTTTCTTAATAATGAAATAGTCAAATTGGAGAAATTCAATTTTCTATTATTTCTCCAATAAAAACAAAATCTACTTCTGACAAACAGCCCTGAAACAAAAACAAAAAAAAAAAGAAAAACAATCAATTAAACATAAAGACTAATCTATTATAACGCAAGAATTTTTATACAAAGTAGAACATTTGCTTGTTTTATTTATTATTAATCATCGAACTATAGCTGTTTGTTGTTGTTGTTTTGATTCAGGTATATTCTTTTTTAAAAGATGTGAATGCATTCTTATGACATGTTGTGAAAAACGACTTCGTCCTTCAAGAATTTCACCACATATTTTACAACGAACTCGAACATGTTCATCATTTGTTGGAGACTAAAATAAAATAAAATTTTATTGCATATGTTTTATTACAAAAAATTGAATTATCATTTAGATATGATTCAAATTATTTATAATTGAGATTATTATTCTTATCTTTCTTCGAAATATATAATCAGGAATGAAAAATCTTACATTTTGAAATATTTAAATGCAAGTTATATAATGACATTTGTATAAAATGCCATAGGCTAAGGATCAGACAAAATTCGTAACTTATGTCAAAAGATATGCACTTAAAGAAATATGTCAATATTTGTTTTTTATTTAATTTCGACTATCGAAAGGAAAAGTTTTCAATCTATTTTATTGAAAAATAGAATAATGATGAACTTGCGATAGTTTATAGATTATCTAACTTGAGTGTCCGTTGTACACTTCTTCATTTGTAACGAAGAAGTACTACTTCAAATCGTTGATAATGTAGGATCCGACATTTAACCATACAAGATTGCATGTTTTCTGAAGAAAATTTTCTAAGTCTGCTAATGAAAAACAAATGTTTGAGCCTATGTTAACTTATGATACCCGAATCTAGGGTAGCCGTGAGTCTAACCAACTCTCGTGGCTCTGCTATCTATGTAAACTACTATCACAAATAAGTGAGATATTATTTTTGATAGAAAGTTGACAATTAATAACTTTCTTGATTACAATAAAGATAGAAAGATTAAATTCTTTTTTTCAATTTCGCTATAGAATTTTTCTTACTCGTCATTAGACCATTGTGGGTTGTATTCCAGATCTGATCCCGGATAGTCCAAAGTTCTAACTTTTTGTTGAGACCGGACTTATATCCATGATTAATTTCAGACCCAATTTGTATTCAGCTTCAAGTCTGAATGAAGAAGAACTGGCATCAACCCACCGAGACAAAGTCTTTTGGACACAATTCAAATTAATATGAAATCTTGATTCTTCATTTGCCCATATACACAGAAGATGCCAGATATTGGTAAAAAAAAAAACTTAAGTATAGACCCAACTGGGTAGAAATCTAGATCTGTCGGACTCGTCAAAAAAAAAAAATGTGGACCTGTAGCTACTACAAATCTTATTTATTAACATCATGAAAAAAAAAACATTAAAGTATCAACAATGTACTTTGCTTCAATGTTTATACTTCAAAATATTTTTAATATACAAAAGTATAACATGTTCTCATTTGTCAAAGCGCAACGTAAAATTATTGATGTGATATATAAAAAAAAGAAAAAAAAAAAAAAAAAAAAAAAACAATCTATTTTGTAAATATTACCTGTTGAATATTTGATTTTCTTGTACTATTTCCATTTATAGATGTTTTTGAAGAATTCTTATTCGACGAAGAGATAACTTTTCTAACAGAGGGTGGTGATCGACATATAATAATTTCTTCATCATCTATTTTAGATTTAGATTTTATATTTTCAATATTATTTAATGATGATGATGTTAATTGTTGATCATTATTTAATGTTTGAACATAT